GATCAGCTATCACCAGAATAAACACATGTAGTACTTTTACTGCCATGGCCTCGTGTAAACAGGAGAAATACGTCTTTTTATTCCAAAGTTTGTTTCTGATAAAGTAAGAAAATAGAAAGCTTTTCTCATAGCCAAGGAGACACCCTAAAGCTCATGGTTTTTGTTCTGCGTCTCGACCACCTGCTTTTCTGCATAAGATCACGCTTCTAATGAAGGTTTTTATTAAAAATGACCCTTAGTCTACCGCTCCTAATTTCTGCGTCAATACTGCCACCTGCTGGACCACTTTAATACTGCAGTACTATTTCATTAAAGCTCTTGAAAAGGACTATTCATTAACCTGACCCTAGAAACGTGTAAAACGCCTCCCTTTCCCGCGTGGTGTTCGTGAACTTGCGTGGGGGAACTGAGCCAGTGCTCAAAATTACAGTCTGTGCTTACAAAATGTCAAAGACCGGCTCCGTTGTTGCATTTTTCGGTGAAATACAGTTTACTGCATTAATATTCACTGTATAGGTTATTTTGTCATGCTACTATTAAACAGTGTTCTATGTCATTGCATATTTTTATAAGCTTTTTTTAAACAGTAGAAAATAGATCAAAATCTTTCTAAGGAATGATGCTTTGGGGTTTCTAGATTGTCTTTGTGCTTTTAAAACAACTTCATGTCACGACATGCAAGACCGCTTTTTCTTCTCGTGAACACTGAGATGGTGATTACAGTAGTTCTTGTTCTTGTGTCGTGGGAAAGTAAGGTGGCAGGGCAAAACCCAGGAACGGCTTCTAAAACAGTGCCCACAAAGACGGCACTTGGTTCGGATCTGGTTCCGATGTGCCCTTTGGGTTGGGGAGTTAACGGGCCCCTCCAAGCCAGCGTCTCCCTCCCAGAGCCTTGTGTTTCCTGTTCCTGCGCGGCAAAAAACGCCAACCGCTACAGAAGGGCAGTAAAACTGCAGCTGTTAGACTTGGGGAAACCTGGCAGATTCCTCCTCTGCAGTATTGTAATGCACTCTTTCTCCACCCGTTTCCTTACTGCTTCATCCAAATCAGGACACACACACACACACTCCAGGGCCCGTTCTCCTGCAAGCCAGTTAACCTACCGGTATGGCTTTGGACTGTGGGAGGAAACCCATGTGAACACGGGAAGACCATGCAAACTCCACCCAGATACTCCCAGGTCTGGAATTGAACCCAGGACCCCAGCACTGCAAGGCAGCAATGCGAACCCCTGCACCACTCTTTAGAAGCCTCACAAGTCTCGTTTTCCCACTCGTTATGTCCAGTTCTGCCATTTCTTATGTACGAGTCCGTACGACTCGATTTATGAAAAATGCGGCAAAATCCACAAGAAAAGTGGCGCTATAGATGTCGGCTATCAAGTATTCCAGTTAGATGAAATCTTGTACGTTTTTTGTTCTCCGAAGAAAGGAGGTTGGAATTATAGTTATGAGGAATTTAGGCACTTTCCAAAGTCCCGGTCTCTAAGGCATGGACTCTTTTTCAATCGTCTCCATTTGAAAACGATTTGCTGTAGCGAAATACGAATTGCAATCATCTCAGTCGTGCACAGCAGCCAGGTCCCCGAGGTTAAAGGTTAAAGCATCCCTTTATCCCAACAAGAGAAGCCTCGTTATTCTAGAATGTCTGAGGGCAATAATGACCTCATTTTGTGTAACTTCCACTGCTGTAGAATGCAAACTATTAGGACGCACAGAAATCTCCTGCTGTACGCCATTAACACACTCTTTTCTCCCAGTATTGTTCTGTGCACTTTTACTCGCCTTATACACACAAACTGATTCTTTTCATGCTGAGAACTCTTTAAGATAAAGTGACATTTATGTGCAGTTCCCGTATGAGTACATTTAAAACATTTGTAGATAAAACCGCACAAGGGTATAGAATCTCTGTGGAGCCAAGAGTTCAAATTCCAGCTCTTGCTGAAACTTTAAAAAGATTACGCTGATTGGGTGAAATAGTCAACAATTAAAACAACTCGTCAAATACAATGAACAGCAAACACATTGCTTCCATTATCTCGAGTTTCTGAACAATCAAAAGGTAAAGCAAATCTTCGCTATTTTCTAAACTCAAAATCTGCATTGTAAATTTTCACCTGAAGGGCTTTTAGTCAAAAACATTCCATAACAAATAATTTAGTAACCACTAAAAACGTCTACAACACAAAAACCTTTTGTTTTATAGGCCTCACTATTGTGTATTGTTCCTACCGTCTTATTGCTGATAATTGTCCATGCTTTACAAACAGGGATGGGCATTCTGGGTCCTGGATGGGCACTGTCTCTCTTCCACTTTCCTAGTCTCTTTCAAGAGCTGACAGAAACTCATCCAGTTAAGATGAAAAGGATCTGATTTGAGGTTGTTAATGGCCAAGTTAGAATAATAATCTGCAGAAATACACCGGCTCTCCAGGACCAGGACTGGACACACTGACCCCTCCAGGACCGGGACTGGACACCCTGTAGACACACTGACCCCTCCAGGACCAGGACTGAACGGACGGACATGTGCTCCGTTAGTCCTAATTTCGCATGCTCTTAATTGGTCTAATTACTCAATTAACTGTGCAGGTTCTGCATGTCTCCATGTGCCTCTGAGCGTTTAAACACCTATCCAGGTCTTTGAAATTAAAGCAAATCTTAGGCACTCAAATATAAAATATCTAAAAGAAGGGAGGGGAGGTCAGTTTACAGCTACACAATATTTGGACTACTTCAAATGAACTCTGAAGCTGACTGCCAATTGAGAAAATCGGAGAACACCACTGGCCTGGGTTGGAGTCTCCTACAGAAGTGTTCTGAGACAGCACAAGCTACAGGCAAGGGGTGGTCACGAGTGCCAGAAAGCAGTCTGTCATACACTCAGCTGCTGTGAGCACTCAACCTCAGGCATGTGTAGTGCAAGCAAAGAGGTCAAACTGATGTCTGAACAACTGCAGCTAAATCCAGACCTTGGGTGCACTAAAGATAGGCTCCAAAACACTGGGCTCTGACAGCCCCAAACAGCTGTGCGGAAGCATGCAGTCATTGCTGTATGAAGTGCAAGCACACAAGTACACACACACACACACACACAAGTACACACACAGCTAAAACAGTAAGGCTTAGCAAAATTGCACTGTTCTTACAAGCTCACAGTAACAAAATCTTACATTCAATCTGGACAGTTGTGAAGCACTCATTTGTACCAGTAAAGCAAAGTAGTTGTAACTGCCTTTTACAAAAGTCTGCAAAGTAACTGTTCAGTTTACTATTGTAAGGAAATGGCATGTTAGCAAAGCTCTAAGTATGTCTACTTGCTTCATTTTATAGATTATGCAGCATTATTTCTGTTGTCATCCTGTCATCCAGCACTGTAAATTATTTTTGTTCTGATCTTCTAAATTAAACGAAAAAGAATGCCTGACCCGGGCTTTGTTTAGATTACTTTAAAAAAGAGCTACGGAGAGGAAAAGAATGTTTAAAAAAACTACTCAAAACAACATCAGCAGCCATGAAATCAGGAATTTCATATTCGGTTCCTAATGCGTCCACTGCAGGAGTCCTGGTCCTGGAGAACCTGTGTCTCTGCAGATTTTCCATCCAGCTGGGCATTTAAAGACCTCATTGAGCTGGTTACCAGTTCAACTAGACCACTTCACCAACTTCTCCTGGCTCTTCAGCTGCAGAGGCTTTAAATAGAGCTGGAAAATCTGAAGACTGGAGACTCCCAGTATAGTGTCTTCTGCTTCTTGCTCTGACCTGAGTGGTCAATTAAACAATTAACCTATTTTCTTACATGTATACGGGATTTTACAGTGGACTTTAAATGTACTGATGGTGCATGCAACAGTACTTCAGCTCACTCGTGAATTGCAAACCCTGCATGTTATCCCACTGTTCCCGTGAATTCGATATTGCCTCCCTCACAGCTCTGCATAGTGCCCTAAAAGCAAGCAGCTCCTGCTGAACCCTGCTTAGCTGATATCGAACCAGGAACACAGACACTGTCATTAAGGTTGAAACATTCTGATGCTGCTGCTGACAACTGGTCACTTCAGGTGCAGAACTAGCCGAACCCTCCATGTGAGCACTTCAGCGCCCTCCTGTGGTGACAGTTCAGAGAGAGAAAACAAACGGGGGCACGGGGGCATTGCTGTTTGCATGCTCTCGAGAACGAGGCACAGGACTTGGAAAGGTCAGCATAGTTCAGTATGCATTTAGGGGACAAATTGTTTGAAAGCCATCCTATTCATTGGCAACCTGCTGGGCTGCTTGATTTAGAGAAGAATAGTCTTTAAAGCAACACTGCTACATTAGCCAAGCTGTTGAAACTCAGTCAGTGAAGTTACAAATACAGACATTCCTTCTGTTTTACCAGTCCCTTGAAATTACTTGTATAAACGCACCTGCTTTGTCTGCCCACGCTGCTTGTTAAGGCTTAAAGTCAGTGTGGATCCAGATTTCCTCCGTAGTAAATCCCATTTCACAAGTCTGATTTTATTGTACTGGATGATCAGCATGTGAGATAAACCCAGCTCTGCTCCGCCAGATCAGATCGAAGAGTGAACCGGGAGCACCGTTTCGCCGCAGCTCAAAGGTTTTGCACGAAGGCTCACGACTGACCGCCTCGGTTCCCGAATTGACCAAAAGGAGAAACGGAAAAAAAAATCTTCACAACCTTCCTGCCGGAAGTGCGAGTTGGCGATGTCCAGACGCCAGTAGCTGCAGCCCGATTGCTCCCGCCCTGGAGCGGAAGCCGGGCTGTGGCGTGCGCGGTGTTGGGAGGAGAGCGTCTTGAGATGCGAGGCCCGGCTGCCCCCGCCTGCACACCGACCCCCGAAGTCCACAGGCCTGTCCAGATTCGCCTCTCTCCTGCTCGTCGCCGAAACGGGAAGGTGGGGCCGTGTCCCGCGCGTCGCCATGCCACTGGTGCCAACCTCTTCCGCTGCCCTTCGCCCTCACCCCCCCAGCCCCCCCCACCCCCACCGTCCTTACCGCTGGACGTAGCCGCGCTGCCGCAGCTTGCGCTGGAGGATCTGCAGGAGGTCGAAGGTCGTGAAGCTGATCCCCACCGCGATGGGGCCCTTCACCCAGTTCATGCTCAGCCCCTTGTAGAGCCCGCGCACCAGCCCCTCCTCCGCCACGATCTCCCGCATGGTGCCCGCGATGGTGCCGTACGTGTGCCCCGTCACGCCCGCCGTCTGCATGCGCCGCCGCACCACGTCCAGCGGGTAGGAGGCGGACTGGCCGATGAGCCCGGCGCAGGCCCCGAACGCCAGCCGCTCGTACGAGTAGGGGTGCGCGCGCCCGCTGTTCTCTGCAGGGAGGAGGGGAGAGGGTTGTGTAAGGGCAGCGCTCCGGCCCTGATGTTATTTGCCAGCAGCCAT